TGTGTGTGTGTGTGTGTGTGTGTGTGTGTGTGTGTGTGTGTGTGTGTGTGTGTGTGTGTGTGTATAAACACTATTACAGACCAAACAGACCAAACGCTACTGTATTTTCAGTTCTATATAAAAATAGTTCCATGAATCATGCCCAAATTTTCCCATCTTGCTTCAAGAAAGTCTCAATTTTTTTTTTCCAAGTTAAGAACCTGAAATCCCACAAGTCTTCACTGTGGATTTACACATATCCCCTTCACCTCCCAGATTCTTTTCATTATTAACAAAGTTCCTCTCTTTCCTTTAAATTCTATGCTCTAGATATGAAACTTAATCTCACCCACTGACAAGTATGGGGGCTAGGGAGGAGCTGGATTTTACTTTCAGACAAACCTGACACAGCAGAACTAATTTTGATCAATGACTTTTGGAAAATATGCACTATCTTTCCAACCAAAATCAAAATTTTTTTAAGGAAGAGATGTATCTTAGTACAAAAGACTGTATCTCAGATATTGTCCTTCCCTGGCACATGCAGCCAAAAACGGAGATTCATCTTTGAGCATACACTAAAGCATAGAAAATTTCTCCAACTAGATATTTTTATTTTATTTTTAGACTTTTTTTTTTTTTTAGATGAAGTCTCACTCTGTTGCTCGGGCTGAAGTGCAGTGGCGCAATCTCAGCTCACCACAACCTCCACCTCCCGATTCAAGTGATTCTCCTGCCTCAGCCTCCCAAGTAGCTGGGACTACAGGCGTGCACCAACATGCCCAGCTCATTTTTGTATTTTTAGTAGAGATGGAGTTTCACTATGTTGGCCAGGCTGGTCTCAAACTCCTGACCTCGTGATCCAAGCGCCTTGGCCTCCCGAAGTGCTGGGATTACAGGCATGAGCCACCAGACCCAGCCTATTTTTAGACTTTTTTATAACCTCATATTAGAAGTGACACCAACTCAGATATTAAGCATCTTCAGCACAGGGACTACATCTTATGCTTTTTATATAAGAACCTAGTTCCTGGTAAATGTTCAGTTTATGCTGTTAACTGACTGATTCTGACAATGATGGAGGGGGAACCCTGAAAAGTCCCCAGTCTGACCTAAAATTTTACTAAGACCTATCTCTGTCGAGCCTTAACTTAGCCCTCAAATTGTTATGATCCTCAGAGAACTGACGGAAAAAATAACAACAATAACAAAAAGAGAAGACTCTTTGGGGCAATTTACATTATATTGATCATGGCTTTTCCTTAAAGCATGATATACAGCCTCTGTTCAAAACATTCTTGTGTCTTTTAAATTGGTTGTCAAGAGGAAGATGTCCTTACCTGGAAAAAATAAATTGGAAATCAAGAGGATCCTATTAGAATAAATCAAAAGCAATGTAATTCTAAACTTAGTGGATATAGATCTTCCCTGTGCTCAGCTTCAACCAGTTGATTAGCAGAAAGGGTGGGAACCACAAGTTCTTGGATGTGAAAAGTACATGTTTACTAACATTCCCTTCTGAGGATTTATAATTGAGTTACAGCTAATCAATGTCCACCCCAAATCTAATAAACTCACTTTCTCTATTTCAAAATCAATACTTTCTAATAAGCAAAGAATAGAGGAGGGAAAAACAATTCCAATCCAAACTACCAAATTTCCTAAGAAATTAAATTATTTTCATCACTCTCCTTCCATCAGGAGCAGGGGGAAAATCAGCCAAGGCCTCAACTCATTACTCTCTGTCATCATCACAGGCAACTGGAATTTACCACCCAAGCTGCCTGAAATGTGACTGGAAACTGACAACATAAAGGCTCCTCCCATTGCCAGCACTCCTACCCAAGGAACACAGCACTCAAGGGTTTCTAAGGTGTTGGAATGGGAGAACTATAGAACTCGTCTAACAAAAGTTTTTCTTTGGGTCTCAGAAATTAAGCCTATGCTCCTAATTTTGAAAGTAGAATATCTGACTGGTAGAGCAGAAAGTTGCAGCACATCAGTAATATGAATGTAATCTGTACATTCTCAAGCACTTTTATCCTATTTCAAACCATCCCCCACCTTCCCGTGGAAAGAACCAGCAGATCACGAAGTCAGAAGTTCGAGACCAGACTGACCAACATGGCAAAAACCTGTTTCTACTAAACAAAAATTAGCCAGGCATGATGGTGGGCACCTATAATCCCAGATACTCAGGACACTGAAGCAGGAGGACATCTTGAGGCAAAGGTTGCAGTGAGCTGAGATCATATCACTGCATCCAGCCTGAGCAACAGAGTCAGACCCTGTCTCAAAGGGGAAAAAA